TTAATTGGGATCCCTGGGTGGCGCTGCGGTTTCGCGCTTGCCTTTGGCCCAGGGCGCGATCCTGGAGATCCGGGATCGAATCCCACGTCGGGTTCCCGGTGCATGGAGCCTGCTTCTCCCTCTGCCTCTGTCTCTGCCTCTCTCTCTCTCTGTGACTATCATAAATAAATAAATTAAAAAAAATTCTTTAAAAGAAATTAATTTTCTCACAATTACAGAAACTAGAGCTCTGAGATCAAGATAACTGCAGGTTTGGTTTCTAGTGAGAGCTTTCTCCTTGGCTATCAGGACTGTGTCTTCAGATAACACTGTTATCTGTGTCCTATTCTCTCCTTAGAGAGATACCAGCTATATTGGATTAGGGTCTACCCATAGGATCTCATTTCACCCTAATTACTTCTTAAAAGAGGTAATTGAGTCACATTCTGAGGTACTAGGGTTTAGGACTTCAACATATGGATTTGGGGGGATATAATCAGCCCATAACAATCATATATCATATCAACAGGAAGGCCATATTTACAGATGCAGGTACTGGTGAATGAAGCAATATGGTGATAGGATTCTGTGGAATTATGGCTTACATTTTCTAGTGAAATAAGAAGCATGTGAAGAGTTGGGATGTTGAGGTGGTGCTGGAAATAAGGGACAGAATAATTATAAAGTGATTGCTTGGTAGCATTCAGGGTCTGATTAACATTTGTGGTCATGCATTTAAACTGAAATTAGTCATATGGTTGTATATTTTCCTCCAACTAGGTTTAGCTGTGTGGGTTTAGGCTTCTTGAATTGTATTTGGACTTAGCCAGAGTTATGATTTTCCCAGGGAAGTAACACAAAGTGAGAGAGGGGTAGGAGAGTAGAGGGCATATGTAAATCAGTGATTATAAAAACAAGGCATGACATCTGAACTACAGAAGGAGGGGAGAGAAGACAATAAGGGAGCAAGAGATGGTGAAAATACAGTAAGGCCACTGGACTGGAGATTCTGGTGAGGTTGAAGGATAGTGGGGTCTGGATACCAAAGGGAGTGAGCTAGAAAAAGAGGAAGTGATGGTCATTGAGAGGGACGTTTGGCATTGAGATTACAGAGGGGTTGCTAAAATTGCTATGACAAGGCCTAGGGTATGGCCATGTGAGTGAGTAGCTGAGATAGAGTCAAGGACAATGTCACAAAGGAGAAATGTTCAAGGAACTAAAGGCGTCAGTGTGACAGAATGATCATTCTTGAGCTCACTGGGAATTGAGATGGGACTACTACCATTGAGAGTGACTGTGCTCCAGGTGCTAAAACTTTTGAGAAATTGGGGAGGGGGTGAAGTTTGGTAGATGACAACAAAAATGAAGGCAAGTTGGTGACAAGCTGTCAAAAACTAGATGTTTTCAGGGATGTGGGAGAGGAACGGCTAAAGGCAGCAATGAGAAGGACAACCAAGAAAGACTTGACCTTCAGACTAGTATAAAGGTGTTGGGAAAGAAAAATCATCTGCTCCTCTTGAGTGGGCTTCAGGGGACATAGAATCCTCAGGAAAGATTGATTTCTGTTAGGGGAAGACAATGATGGGCACATTCAGAGAAGAAATCGTAGTTATAGAGGAATTTCTGAGGGTGCATTGTGTTTTAGGAGTAGAAGAGGGGTGTGAGAAGTGAACTAAAGAGGGGATGTGGTCACAGCCTTATGGAGATTAAAATGCAGGAGTTGAAGGGTGTTGTGGGGATCTTGGAGTTCTTTTGGTGAGTAGCACAAATGGGGATAAAATCATTATTAAATGAGTTCTGATGGATTCAAGGTAGATTCAAGATAGATTTTGAAGTCTGGGCTACAGAGGGGTGAGTGGGTGCCTGGGATTTCCTGTTTACCCCAAGCAATGTAGAAATTCAGTATAATACTAGAGCACTGGTCCATACAATGCTCCATATAGTTCCTAGGAATAGAGGCCACATAAATCTGTAATGATAAAAAATGATCTAGAAATTACACTTCACATTCAGGATAGGACTACCCGTAGGGAAGTGGGAAGGTGAATGGACATGTGGTGAGGGTCAAGGGAACCTCAATTTTTTTTACAGTTTTTATTCTTAAGAAAAGAGACAGTAGGACAGCCTGGGTGGCTCAGTGGTTTAGCACAGCATTCAGCCCGGGGCATGATCCTGGAGACCCGGGATCGAGTCCCACTCGGGCTCCCTGGGTGGAGCCTGCTTCTCCCTCCACCTGTGTCTCTGCCTCTCTGTGTGTTTCTCATGAATAAATAAAATCTTAAAAAAAAGAGAGAGACAGTAAATACACCCAAATGTTAGCAGTATTCAAATCTGAGTGGTAGAAACATAGATGTTTATTATATTTAATGCCTGGGACACTGTAGGTACTCAATTAATATTTGAATGAGGGTGGCTTTCTGCTTTAAAAGTTTCTCCAACAAACATGCAAAACTCTCCAATGAACACAAGAGCATACAAAAGGGAATGAATGGAGAGAGGTGGGGAGGGCTTGAGAAATCCTTGTGGGAAGAGTGGTAGCTAGCTGATGATTGTAGTACCACCATACATGAGCCACTTGGAAAATATAGGGTGTGAGGTAAAGACATAGTCCTATCTCCCTATTACTTTAATACTCTAAGGTTCTGGGTGAGGATCCAGAAAGTGACCTTGAACATTTAGTCCTTTCAAGTAACTGCTAGATCCTTACTTTTCTCCCCCAACATGGACACTGGGTGGGGCTGCCGTCCAAAATTTCTGCTCTATCACAGATGTATTACCTCAATCTATAGATTGGTATTTATCTAGTGTCTCCTGTGGGCCAAGCAAAGTGCTAAGGATTGGGGAGATAAAGATGGATAGGTTCAGTAGATCCTCCTGTGAGGAGGAACATGGCAGTTCAATGGCTGAGAAAATTGAAAATGTGACTTTTACATCGGAGAGCACCACTGTAACAGAAATACTCAGCTGTGGGGATGAATGACTCTGAACTGCCCACCCTTTCAATGAGCAACTCTCCTCCATGACCTGGCAAGGATTAGAACAGATGCCACTGAGCGTTGCTTCCAAACCATTGTGTGGTTATCACAGTGTACTTAGGCTCTCTGGCTATAAAAAGCCAGTTCTGCACGTTGGAAGCTAACTGGGCAAGAAGTGTTTGCTTATTGTAGAGGCTCCAATTATCTTGGAGAAGTGAACTTGGGAAGAAGAGAGGTGGATCCTCAGCACAAGAATAGTGAGAGAGAGACCAGAGAGGCAGGCCGACTATCCCTCCCCTAACCAGAGAGGGCTTGGACGGAGTCTGTGGAGGCGGCTACGTTATGATGTCATCAAGATACTGAGGCAGGGGAGAGGTCTTGAGTAAGAGGTGAGACCAAGGGCTCAAGCCTACAAGACAAAGCAGGGGGTAGGGGCGAAGGGGCGGGCCTAGGATCCATCAGCCAATCAGAGATGGCTGGGGCGTGGCCTGACCCACAGCTTATCACCGCAGGGTCCCTGGTGGGAAGTCTAACCTCGCACTGTGTGTGGAGCCGCGTGGGTCCGAAGTTCGGCTTTCTTTTGTCTTCAGGCCATCAGGTGAGGAGGACATGTGGTCCTGCTGGAGCCAGAAGACTATGGGGACAGGAGGGCGCAGTGGCTGCGGGGCCGGGGCTGACGGTCTCTCGGGAACTGGAGGAACCTGGTTGGGACTAGCGTTTTGTAACTGCGCCTCCTGGAGAGTCCACATTTTTGTTTTCTGCAGCGCCGCCTTCTGCGCTTTACAGAGTCCTCGCTGGGTGGGTCCTTGGAAGGCCCAAAGGGGCGGCCCCTCAGAACTGCCGGTACACTGTGGCTGCCAACTGGAGGATGGGAGGACGAGGAGTTTGGGGGGTGCCCGGAATGGGCCGTCTGGGGCCCCGCCCTTCGTGCTTTTCCTTTTTGTGGTCAAAAGGTGGGCTTCGCACCTGACAACAATGATAGTTATCTTAAAATGTAAGCAAACTGCTCCGGACAAACGGGCCCATGCGCCCAGCCTTTTATGATTTGTTAGTCCCTGTTTCCCTCCCTCTGGAGATGGGCATCTGACAGCTCGTTAGAGGAGGTTCTTAGGGTGACTTTGATGGAATGGAGGCATATTCAGGACTTCTGGCTGCTTGGGGGCCTCACCATTCTACTCTGGGCACTAGATGTGCCTTACCCCTACCAGGATGGGACCAGGCACATACTCGTTTTCCAATCTCTGGGGTCTTCTGTTGTCTCGGCTCGGAAACATCCAGGATGGTCACAGGGCGCCTCATTTCCTAACCTCTCCTTTTTCAAAGAAAACATGATGTAATAAAATCAACTCTATTTGGCTTATCCTATTCTGCTGAAGTCATTTGGTCTGATCCTAATTAGCTGTGCCTTCTTACAGCATTTACAAACCGGCGCCATAAGGAGCTATTATGAGACATGTAATTAGTTACAGCTGGATTAAATACCCTACCTCTCTTATTGTAGCTCCTGAATCTGCTATCTTTGGGCAGATAAAATGGAAAGAAACTAGTACAACTTATGCCACGCTCTTTTGTGTGCTGCTCCTATCCCCCAAGAAAATGCCCCCCAAAAGTAATTGACTAGAAAGTGAAGATGTTCAAATAGTGCTATCTCCTGTTACAAATTCATCAGCTGGTTAAACATAGTCCTTATTTTTTTCTTCTATCCCTATCTGCTCATGTGTTTCTATCACCTTCATTTTATCTTTGTTGTGATTTTAAGAGTCAGACATATTGACTCCAGTCTCTAGAGCATCTTGGTTTCTGGTGCATCCTGATTCAGTGGTATTTACTGCTTATCAGAAATAGGGTAATGACATGGAATAAAAAGTATTCTAATAAAAATACGACTTTTCTAAGATCTGCTGCTTGTTTCCTGTTGAAAATCAGCAGGTAAAATACACATTAATATTAAATGTGAGAATTTTGGCTGTTACTCCTTAGTCTGAAAATAGTTCTACCAGATAGGTTTGTTAAAAGTTTTTTTTCCCCAGTCTTTTTTTAGTCAAAATGAGTGATAAGCCAGATTTGTCTGAAGTGGAGAAGTTTGACAGGTCAAAACTGAAGAAAACTACTAAAGAAAAGAATACTCTTCCTTCAAAGGAAAGTAAGTTATGGGGACTTTCTAGTTGAGACAAACAATGGTGAAAGTTTATAAGTCAGTAAACAAACTCTTCTTGTAAACTTTGCCACAGATTAAGCAATTAAAATACCAATGTATTTAATGCAGCATCTAAAAATATCAAATAGTTGCTTCTTACCTGGCTTATATAAGTGGTTCTCACAAAATAGACCCTAGTAGTAATGGGAGAATTTAAAAAAAAAAACTGGTTTTTTTTGGTTGTTTTAAAAATTACTAAAAGCCACATTAAAACCAATCTTGAGATATTGGACCCAGAAACATTTTAGTTTTGTCCAGTTTTTGGTTATTTGCCATATTTATGCATCTAACAATTTGGGTCTGTGATCTCATCCCTAAAGAGCCATATTAACGTTGTGGTTTTGGCCTTCTCTACCTGATGACAAGATGAAGTGGGATAACCAGGTTAGCTCTTGAGTATACTCAAGTGTCTCAGGGATCAAGGGATCAGTTTTGATCTCCTGACTTAGTCTGCTGGAGAAACTCCAAACCAAGAGTCACATTTTTTTTTAAATTTATGATAGGCACACAGTGAGAGAGAGAGAGAGAGAGAGAGAGAGAGAGAGAAGCAGGCTCCATGCACCGGGAGCCCGATGTGGGATTCGATCCCGGGTCTCCAGGATGGCGCCCTGGGCCAAAGGCAGGCGTTAAAACCGCTGCGCCACCCAGGGATCCCTAGTCACATTTTTTCATGTCAGCATTATTTGGAAGTTCCAAAGTCAGTCAAAATTGTCTGAAATGGTATAACTTTCTAATTGTATAAGGATAGATAAATCTGAAGAAAATGCTTCAGTTCCTTCTCATTCTTAAAATAATCTATGGGGAAAAAGTGGCAACAGCATAGATTTACCTCTTAAATGGGAAAGACTCTGCAGTTGTAGATTTTAATGAACATTCAGGTGGTACACACAGGCACACAGACACACTTGGTATGGCAGCCTTTGGTGACTTGGGAAAGTGTTTTTTGGTGAAGAAATTGAACTTAATCTTAGGAAAGTACCTTCTTAATGTTTTTTTTTATGTTTGTTTTCTTTTTTTCCCCCAGCCATCCAGCAGAAGGAGTGTGTTCAAACTTCATAAAATAGGAATTTCCTCCTAAGAGCAGATTTCAACATTTCCTGAGTGTCTCGGTTTGAGGCTTTTTCTTTTCTAAACCTATGTGCTTGTAGAGATTTTAGGCATCTTCTGATGTCTTCACACCTATGCTCCCTGGCTAAGAGGTCAGGAGTAGCCAATCTTCCCTTATATTCATTTTTAAACCTTCCATTAATGCATAGATTCCAGGTGGCAAACATTGACAATAATCGCACCATTGATGACCTTAGTGTATGAAGTCCTTTCACCCCCTAAAGGATAAGTTACTTTTAACCTTCTACAATGGGTGCCTCCATTGCTCCATAATCTTCATGAAGTGGCATGCGTTTGCAGCTTCTCACAGTTTATTTTTATTTCAAATGTAGCAATAAAATAATAAATACAGTCAATATGTTAAGCCTCCTGTGGTACATTCCTTGTGGTCTTCTAAGGAATGAAAGTACCAAGGGTACTATTTTCAGCCAAACAAAATGGTTGCAGGAAAGACACTTTGGCAGATCATTCACATGGAATAGGCTCTCTACTGTCCAGGTGCAGTGGGTCCTGACTTAGTGATGGTAAGTGCTTTTTCCTTACAGTTGGAATCATACGATTCAAGAACCTTGGAAGAAGAGGTCATGTGGACTAGCCCCCTTATCTCAGAAATGAAAAAATAAGAACATCTGAAGTGATGATCTAAGGTGAATAAGAGCTGGAAATTTAGCTGGGCTCTCTTGCTTTCTTTAATGTGCTTTTAAACTTAATGGAAAGAGATGCCCAAGGCTGGTAATGGATGAAGAAGGGCATAGGAGGTATATGCTAGCACACTAGCACACACTGTGCTAAGCACATCACATCTTATTATTGAGCAGAAACTCAAATATCTAGTATCTGCTGATGATCCACAGCATCGAACCTCTGGTCTCCTTGTCCTGAACAGAATTTGCTCTCTTAATAAACCACATATTTGGTATTCATGGTGAGCATAAATGTTATGGCCTGAATTGTTCTCCCCCCATATCCAAAAAAAATTCCTATGCTGAAGCCCTAACCCCCAAGGTGACTGCATCTAGGGATAGGGTATTTAGGAGGTAATTAAGGTTAATTGAAGTCCTAGGGGTGAGGCCCTAATCTGGTAGAACTGTGGTTTTAAAAGAAGAGGAAGAAACACCAGAGATCTCTCTCTCTCTCTCCCTGCCATGTGAGGACATGACGGAGTGGCCATCTGCGAGACAGGAAGAGATTTCTCAGCAGAAACTGATTCTGTAGGACTTTGTTCTGGGACTTCTATCCTTCAGAACTCTGAGAAAATAAATCGCTATTGTTTATGCCACTCAGTCTGGTATTTTGTTATGGCAACTCAAACTAATAAAATAATACCTATAAATAGGCAAGCTAAAAAAAAAAAGAAAAGAAAAAGGGATGCCTGGGTGGCTCAGCAGTTGAGCATCTGCCTTCGGCTCAGGGCGTGATCTCGGAGTCCTGGGATCAAGTCCTGCATCAGGTTCCTCACAAGGAGCCTGCTTCTCCCTCTGCCTGTGCCTTTGCCTCTCTCTCTGTCTCTCATGAATAAATAAAATCTTTAAAAAAAATAGGCAAGCTCTGATACCTGCCCTTAAACAATACTTTCATCCTTAAAATTTATAAGAACCATTCACCTATAATCTCTAATTAGAAGATGTCATACACTGCATTTGAATGTATGACAATCCAGACTGTGGTCTATTAATATTCATATATTTTCCTACAAAAAGGGATTATGTAGTCTGTACCTATTTGCAACATCAAGTATTATCTTAACCATCTCCTTCTAAGGGCTGACATCCTTAAATAATCACTGGGTTTACAGAAAGTGGAAGCTATTTTGTCTGCAAAAACATAAACTTCAAAAAGTAAAACAGTAGTTGGGTCAACTCTGATCAAATTTCAGTTAGGTAATACAATCACCAGGCTTAGTGTAGCCAGAAGATTTGAGAGTTTGAAATAACCATGTTAGTTATCAATACCTTACCTCTTGCCTGAAATAATTACCTGGCAGTCACTCAGCTTCTTGCTGTGACAGACTGCTTACACTGTGCCCAAACCTGCCTTCCTATACCTTCTATTCAATAGTCCTAGGACTGCATACCGAAGCCTCAAACAATGTAGTTGTCCCTCTTCCAATATTTGAAGTTAGCTATTGTATGCCTGCCTCTATACCTTCAAGGCTTCTCCTGATGACACTTCCTGATCCTTTGGATCCAGTTTACATGAATGGGGAACCTGGTTACTGATGTGCTCAAGTTTGCTCATGATCAGATCTCTACATCCTGATTCTGTCATTCAATACATTTGCTTTTCTTTCAACATTGCTATTTGCAAATTTGAGAAACATTGTACATCTATGATAGATTCAGCAACCTCTGCATTTGCATATCATTTAGGCTGAATTTGCACAAGATTAGCATTATTTCAAAGGGCCTGACAATTTTTTCAGGTGAGCTGGGATTAGATAATAACCCATTGTTCGGTTGCATCTGTTAATAATAGTTTCATTAACATTGATTCCATCCTGAGCAGTGTATTAAGCTGAGATGAGAGGTATATGGTGGAAAGTGAAAGACATTGCTGCTAAGTGAGTACTCATACAGACAGATGGGAAAGACAATTGCTCACGTACAGTAGTTTTACTCAGCATTTTTTTCATTTTTCTTTTTTTTTAAAGTAGGCTCAATGTCCATTGTGGGGCCCAGAGTGGGGCCTGAACTCAGGACCCTGATATCAAGATCTGAGGTGAGATCAAGAGTGGGATGCTTAACCAACTTAGCCACCCAAGTGCCTCTCAGCATTTCTTAAATATATAATGTGGGGCTATCCTTCCAGTTAGTAGATTCACTTGCCTGTTTAACCAGAACCATGGTTTTCCCCCAATAAGCCAACTATTAGTAGGGATTGAGATTTGGGGCCCTGAACAAACAAGGGACCAAAAATATATGACACACCCATTTACTTCTCAGTCTCTAAGAATGAATACCCAGAAACACTTACTGGTTCACACTTATCACCTGCTCCCATTTTGAGCCAATGGCTGTGGTACAGGGTCTGCAGGTTCTTCATTGGCTGAACCAGTGGAGGGTGGGTCTTGGGCTACTCTGGATGTTCCCATCATCCCATGAGGCATAAACACAGGTTCTGAAGCTTTGCACTTTAATAAACGAGCATAAAAACCCCAAAAGAGTATAGATGAGAAAGCAATAGAATTAGATAAATCTGAGCTAGTTAGACTACTTACTTCAGTTCTAGGAAGCTTGAAAAATGTACTAGTTTATGAACTTTTTGATTTAGCTCTTTCTGTAATGTGTTTGGATCCTTGGTTATTTATTTAAAAGAATTCCACAGTAGGGATCATGTTGAAAGAAGTCTGTATGTGATATTTTGTTTTATGAATAATTTCCCCCCGTTTGATGCTTGTAATTTATTATTTACAGCAGTAAAGCTGTTTATTTTCTTTAAAAAGTCTTTTCTGCAATGTGATACCAAATTCATTAATAATATTGGAAGTAGAATTTTTGCATCCTTCTTTATAAGTGGGACTTCTCAGAAATTTGTTTAGTATGCTTTCTTCAATAGGTTTTTTTCTTGGTATTATAGTTTCTTGAAATAAAAAAGAGAGTTTTTTTTCTTCATTATCTGGAACTATTTATTAGCAGTAGAATTACCTGATCCTTGAAGGTCTTACAAGATACACCCTTGGAAGCCAGGCCACCTGGGATCACAGCCCATTGATGACCTCTATTTCTTCAATTTTTCTTTGATTAAATTTCAATAATTGATTCGGTGTTATAATTTGTCTCAAATTGTAAGCTGTTTTGCATTCATACATGTAGAAATATGTTTGCATGTATCATTAAAAATATTGAAAGAGTTGAGCTTTTAATATTAAGATATTTCCCATTTTGGGATACCTGGGTGGCTTAGCCATTGAGCATCTGCCTTTGGCTCAGGGCATGATCCTGGAATCCTGGGATCGAGTCCTGCATCAGCCTCCCTGCATGGAGCCTGCTTCTCCCTCTGCCTGTGTCTCTGCCTCTCTGTGTCTCTCATGAATAAATAAATAAAATCTTAAAAAAAAGATTTTTCCAATTTTATTATTAACTTTGCTCTCCTTAAGGAGGTTTCTTAGAGGATTAGATTAATATATATTTTTCATCTAATAGCTCTAATATATATTAATCAATATTAGCATTTAAAGTACTTTTAGGATCTAAGTATTGATAAGAATTTTTTTAAAAGATTCTATTTATTTACTCATGAGAGACAGAGAGAGGCAGAGACACAGGCAGAGGGAGAAGCAGGCTCCATGCAGGGAGCCTGATCTGGGACTTGATCCCAGTATTCTAGGATCACACCCTGAGCAAAAGGCAGGCACTTAACCACTAAGCCACCCAGGGGTCCCACTGATAAGAAAATTTTAAACTTGGTACATGTTTAAGGATTTAAAACTGTGTCTGTAAGTATTTTCATTTCTGTAGGTGTTCTGATTTTGGATACTGTGGTTTTGCCACTTCTTTCCCAAATCATGGAGAGTTTTTATCAGAACTGAAGACACTAGTTAGGAAGCAGGGTTCCTTGACTGTTGGAGAACTCTGGTAGCTATATCAGAGTTTCTACTCCAGCCATAGTGGCCATCCAGTAGATTATGGATTAGAGGTGAAATGGCCCACTTGTGGAACAGTCATTGTGCTAGTGTTATAATTTGGTTATGAAGGTCACAGTCTCCTAAGGGACTAAATTTGACATTCCACAATTTAGGTGATTTGAGTAATATATATTTTTTTTTAATTTTTTTTATTTATTTATGATAGTCACAGAGAGAGAGAGAGGGGCAGAGACATAGGCAGAGGGAGAAGCAGGCTCCATGCACCGGGAGCCCGACGTGGGATTCGATCCCGGGTCTCCAGGATCGCGCCCTGGGCCAAAGGCAGGCGCCAAACCTCTGCGCCACCCAGGGATCCCGAGTAATATAT